AAGTCACAACAGACGCCTGGTCTTTGTCTCCGTCTCCTCACGACCCACTGAAGACCCTCATTGTCTTGTCTACAGAAGCTAACAATAGGTTCTAATAAGTACCTGGTGTGTAACTCAGTTGATGGTGAGAAGATACTTCAGGGTCTGTTGTTCCCACAGTTACTGTTAAACTCCACTGTGAGATCCAGTAAAACATCTCAACAACTTCTCTCCTCGCTGCTGCAGCTGTAGCAGCTCAGTCCAGTCTTTTTTTTTCTCTGCCCTATTAAATATTAATAGATAAACTCTAAATTAAGGCTCTCTATTTTTATCAGACTCCTACCGCCTGCCTTTGAAGTGGAGAACGTCAGCCTCGCAGTTTTTCTAAAACGGAGCCAACGTGAATGACAGCTCACATCTTTCCCCAGCTTGTCCTAAAAAGTGGATCATTTTCACTCTGTCACACTGACTCATATATATTTTTTTCATGTCAAATTCAGTCCTGCTTGCTGTCGTTTTTGGTTAAACGTCTTCTTTTCATCCAATTTCACTGCTTTGCACATCTCAGTTTCTCACCTTCTTTCTTTCGTTCTTTCTTTCTTTTTTTTTTTGAATCGTCTCTTATTCCTCTCTACAGCTGAGAAATGTTCAAAGTTGAGCTTGTCAGCGTCGACTCGACACAGAAGCCAGCAGTCACTCGAGTCGAAGCCCTGAGGTGGTGGAGGTGGTTCTGTGGAGTTCCAGCACAGTTAACTTTAGATGGAGTGTCAGGAGGAATTAAGAGTCCTGCAGTGAAGATAGTTGGTCTGCTAACTCACTGCGTGGCCTGGTTTTGATAGTTAAAACATTCCCTCAGATCTCCTCACCCCGACTGTGCAGCCGATGTTTGAAGATTTAAGTTTTATAATTAACCGGCGTAGTTGGGAAAACAGAAATACAACACAGGGCATTAAAAGTACTTTCTTTGAGCAGCTTCAACATTAATAAAAACCCAAAAAATTTCTGCCTTAATTTCATTCTTCACCAAATCGACCTTTACGCTGCCGACCTACGGTTTTATCTACTTCATCCATAAATATTCAGCGTGTAAATCTTCATGTTTCCAAACCATAAATCAGGGCTAATCATTTATATATTTGGTTAGGTGATGTTGTCTTTTACCTAAAGGTAATTGTCAGACATTTTGAATGGCTGATTGACTGTGATTGGCTCACAAAAAAAACAATGGCTGATTGACTGTGATTGGCTCACCTTCTCTCAACTCCTGCTGTTCTTATATGTGTGGCACCACCTTCATGTACTTCTCTGCCATTCCTGACCTGTATTTGCAACAAAAACAGCACTTTTTGCTGCAAATGTGAATACAAAAAAAAAAACAAATAGTAACTTCTGAGACCTGTCACTAAAACGTTTTACGTTAGCCTTATTACAACTACCTGCATTTCTTAACTTTTTAAATGCATTTTTGCTAATTGAAAAGGGATTTTATACAATATTATAACAGAAGGAGAATTTTTACATATCCCCTAATCCCATAGTGTTTGTACACATTTCCCCAAGCCTAAAATTTACCTTGAAAACAAGATGTCAGTTGCGTTTATCGCAGCTCCTTGGGCTCTAACGTCAGCCCGCCATGTTTGTTTACAAGACACGTCAGGGTGAAAATGAAAACAGTAATTTGATGTAAAGTGGGCTGAGACGCCACTAATCTGCCTCCAGCGTGTTGAACTGCCTTTAATGAAACATGTTGTATATGAAGGCGGTTCATTCATATCCACAGATCCTGTGACAGCAGCAGGGGTGTTGAGTCATTAACGCTGAGCCAATGCACTGAACGTTACCTCGGTTTGCCTGAGCGGATTAAATCTAATTACAGAGTCGCCTCATGAATTTCACTGCCGCACGAGGAGCCGTAAATGGCAGCAAAACAATGACTCATGGATCCGACAGGTAAACAGAGTAATGCCCTGCGTCCTTTTCACACTGCAGAACAGGATCACCTGCACCACGGGTGTGAAAAGGAGGGGGGAAAAAGTCGAAGGTTGAGATGAAGATATGTTCTATTTCTATCTCCTTCTTCAACTCAGCCTGTTGTTTTTGACAATTTAAACCTCAAACTCCAGCTTCACGCCTTCAGAAGGACACATTTTCACAAACAATTAAAAAGCCAAACAAACAAACAAACAACTCCCTGATCAGTTGTTCCCTCTGATATTTCAGCCTCCATTAAAACTCACAGGGTTTTCTACCCCGTGGTTTTTTTTTTCACCACCAATTAACTCTTCTTCGCTCCAGTGGAGCCACTCATTGGACAATAAAGTTGTAAATGTCAGCTTAATGTGCTAATAAAGGGATCAGCCTTAAAGCTGCGGCTCCGTCTGACGGCGGCAGACCTGCACCTGCTCGGCAGGACGTCGCCTCCGCGGCTGAAGACGCTCACTACGACTTAAAGAAGATGACGGTCCTGCTTTCCTTCATCTTCTCCAGTAAATCATCTCTTAAGTAGTCGACGTTGAGCTGATCTGCTCTTTATAGGTCTCTAAAAAATATATCGAGTAAAAAAAAAAAAGGTTAATTCTGGTAGGTTTTGCTGGGCCGGGGTTGATGGGAGTCCTTCACTGATTTGTGTTTTTTTGTTCTTCAAAATTGGACTTTCCACAAGGTGGAACATGTTAGAAAACTTGGCCTTACAACCAGGAGGTCACTGGTTCGATCTCCTTGGTTCTTTCCATAACATAGGCGTTAATGGTTCTTTTTTTTTAAGCCATTTAAAGCAGTAATAAGAAGAGACGTTCTCATGTGCAGCTAATCCACGTCTTTACTACTGTTCACCTCAGCATCCGCCGGGCATTTGTCAGTAGAAAGATGGCGCTGTTCTTCAACACTGTTCTCTCTGTTCGTCTAATCCATTCATTTGTGAATCATCTCTGCATGTGAGGGGGGTAAAAAGACCCCCCCCTCCCCACACACACACACTCGCCTCCTTCCTTTTCCTCCGCCTGGTTGGTACACAGCATGTCAGGAAGCAGGAGTGGGGAGGAATGTGATGGTGCTATTTTTAGCAACTGTTGCCGATTTAAAAAAAAAAAAAGAAAAGAAAAAAATGTCCAATAGTCTCATCCATTCACCAACAACTCCTCTCTCCTGCCAGAGGAACACATGCGTCCATCCATCCATCCATCCATCCATCCATCCCTGTATCCTCTACACCTTTAATCCGTCTGTTCTATTGTCTAATGTTCTCAGTGGAACATGTATAATTCATTTCCTCCTCTCCAGACAGTAGTAATGAAGTAAGTCGTGCATGGAGGGGAGAGGGGAGAAAAGGGAGAGAAGAAGGGGGGGTGGGGGGGGATTGACCTGAGAAGGAGGAGGAGGAGAAATGAAGAGGCAGTGAGAGGGAGCTCAGCTCCGTGCCGTGCATCTCAACACAGCTTTGTTTAAAAGGAGGAACGGACTCATGTGTATTCTGGGAGTGGTTTGAAGGCAGGGCTCATCAGGACAGGGATTTTCTTATCAGGGCTGAAAACATCAGAGCCGCGGGCGATAGTCGTTCATACAGTGTCTGTGGTCGACACTCAAACTGTGTCAGTCTGTGTTACCACTGCAGATAAATCTGAATCCTCTCATCGACCTGTGTCACAGCATGAAGCAGCACAGGGGGAAACAGTCACTGCTGTTGTTTTTCTTCAAATAGGTAGCATTTAGCTAACAGACAATAACCACAAATCAAAAAAATATGTTAACAATAAATACATTTTATTTTTTACTCTGTAAGCTAGCATTTAGCTTTTTATAATAGACTATTAGGATCTTTTGAAGGCTTCATTTTGATACCTTCAGGTCATTGTTTAGGTGTTGTTTTTGTTTAAGCCAAATGTCTATGTATAAGTTAATCTTTGGCTAATTTAAAATTTTTAATAAATTTTTTCTTCCATCTGGTGACTGATTTTTAGCTTCTGTATTTTCTTTATTTAGTTTTGTTTGTTAACGTTTTTTTAAAAAATTAAAACAGCTTTTTTTTTACTTTTTTATCTTGAGTGTAAGAGAGCAGGTTGCTCGATGATAAAAAAAAGTTTGGGTTTTTTTAAAGGTTTTTTTTAGATTATAATTATTATTTTTTGTTTTTAACACTTCACTCAGTGTTAAACGGTGTTAACGTCGTTCGGTGACGTTTTCGTTTACGTCACTTCCTGTTAGAGACTAAAATAGTTGCAGTCAATGACACTTTCACTGGAAAGTTCTGAAAAATCACTTAAAGAAGGAAATTGTCAACGACAGATTTTTTTTTTTTTCTGTTCGTTGAATATTTCTCGTTTATTTCCAGGTATGAAATCGTTTTTATTGGTAGCTAACGAACAACGTATAATACGTAGATCAACGTATTAAGAGGAGACGATCAAATGTCGGTTAAAGTAAATATCGTCTTAAATGTTAAACTATGTTCCTTTTATACCAACTGTATCTGTAAAAAAATGTCATTTGATAAATAACGTCAACGATCGTCAATCGAAACGTATTTTTTAGAATATAATTTAGCCAAGGTACAGCTACTGTACTGTCATGCCTTTGTATTTGCTGCCATCTAGCGGTCGTCAAATAGTACAGCGCCAATCGAGAAGGTAGAAAAGTTGCAGTTAATTGAATTGAAATAAGAATTACTGCTAATTATCCATCGATATATCTGTTTAACGTCGGTTTAGTACAGATTTTATGCGTATATTGCTTATAAAGATTTACAAATAAGAGAAAAGAAATATTTTGATTTTTTATTTGGACTAAATGTACTTCTATCTACCTTATGTCTATCAAAAAACGTCATTATCATCATCATTAAACACAAGATATCATCATTATTAGTGACATTTGCAGAAAAAAAACACTTTGATCAAATGAAATGAAACTACTGCTAAAATTTGTGAAATATTTAAAATAAAGGATTGGTCTATGAAGATGTAATAATATTGTCATGGTAACGTCTTCACGTTGTTGACTTTTCCTAATGTCGGTGTCACACACAGCTGTTCACTGCAACCTGAGCCAGAATGGCATCGACCACCAGACCTGCCCCGAGGACATGACGTCACAGCTGGAAGAAGACGAGGAGTCCGTGGACAGCGGGGCTGCGCTGCTGGACGACGACAGCCCCAGGGCGTCCGCCCCCCCATGTTCCAGCGCCGCCCACCTCCACACAGATCGGTGTCTGAGTCTGAGCTCACCAGGGTGAGTCAAGGTCCAACGTTGGTTACTTTACGTTCCTCTTCTTTACAGATTCTTTACTTTTTTTGGTTGTATTTTTTTTTTATTTGAAGGAGGAACTAAAGTCAAGCTCAGATGATTAAAATATTCAGTTAATTTCAGTAACTACTCCTTTAGTCACACATCGACCTCTTTACCACAGTCAAACACCCACATAATGTAAAGTTTTAGAACCAAAGTTTAACTGGAAGATATTTTTCTACTTCCTCTCCAGAAGTAGGCAGTGGTCAGGGGTGAGGAGAGGGGAGAGGGGGGGGCTGGAGGGGGGTGGAGGGTGACTGGTGTGAGTGCTCCATCACGTAGATCCCTCGGCAGCATCATATTCTCTCCCCTTTGTTTTTCTCCTCTGGACTCGGCCGCCAATCAAAGCAGAGTGGACGCAGAGAGAGTGGTCTCTGCAAATCCCCTGTCTCCGTCTGAGACCTCAGACAGTGGGGCAGACTGGAGTTCAATTAGTACACACACACACACACACACACACACATGCACTTAAAGATAGTGCAGATGCTCTTTTCTTCCAGGATTATCCTTCAACCATAACTCTCTCTCTTCCATATAAGGCAGTGGTTCTCAACCACCGTGCCGCGGCACCCTGACGTGCCGTGACAGATCGTCGTTCAGTTTCACTTCATTGCTCTGAAATCTATTATTTATTTTGTTGCAAATATTTTTTTCTTTGTTTTGTCAATGCTTAGTGACAGGCAAAACATTCAGATAATCTTCCACTAGATGGCAGCAGATGACTATGAAAACTAAAGAATAGATCATGAACTTTGTTGAAGAAATATTTGTATGGTTTTTTTCTTCAATTCCTGCCACTATAATCAGCGTTGTTTTCAACTAAACAGGCTGAGATTTCACACTGAGTAAATTTAAACTAAAAGATTATTATTATTATTTTTATTTTTATTATGAGTTTTTTTTTTGCTACTGTGCTGTGGGCTTTTTTGTTTTTTAAATGGAAAATATGTGCCTTGGCTCAAATAAGGTTCGGAATATAATAATAATAATAATAAAAATAATAATAATAATAATAATAATAATAATAATAATAATTATTATTATTATTATTACTAAAAAGCCCAGTCTTTTTTTAATAAAGTCTGTGTTGTGCAGAATGACGCTGTAACTTCATCCATCAGCCTCATGACTCTGAATCACATTAGACCTGAAGGAAGTTGATTATTAGCAGAAATAATTCAACTGCTGGAGCCAGTGTGTGTGTGTGTGTCTGTGTCTGTCTGTCTGGGTGTATGTGTGTATGTGTGTGTGTGTGCATCTCACTCAAGATTTTTTTTTTCCCTCTGAGAGAAATCCAATTGATCAAGTGCATTAAGGCTGTAATCTCATCAAGTGCTTTTCTCTCTCTGTCATATCCCACGTCCACGGCTCCAGAGGCTTCTATTAATACAACCAGGAGTCTGTTCTTATCAAGTTTAAAAAGTCAGTCAAAAGTGCACGCGATATTAGTTATTTGTCTGGACATTTGGTGCATGTTATGTTCAGACATGACTTAGTTGAAACTCAATTTGCTTTTTTTTACTTAGCATAAAAATATGAGCCCGGCAGATTAGGAACAAACTGAACTAAACAGAAAATTCATATTAAAAAAAAATAACCACAACTAAGGTTAAATTCCAAATGTAACCTTAAATCAATAGCAAAAAGATATATAACTCTTAGTCATCTGTTGCTAACAGTAACCAAAAGATAAGGGATAAGTGATAGCATAGCTTAGCTCATCATTACCACACCATACAACCGTTTATTTAAAAAGAAAAATACTTTAAAAACCCATCATTAAACTAAAACAATGATCATATTAACTACGAACAGATGGAAAATTCCAGACTAGTGAATCTCAAGAATATACAAAAGGCCGACATAGGTACGACATTGTTTCATCCTTTCTTTCCTTCTGGATGTAAAATGATTAATTCACTCATCACTTGTCACAGTTTGGCTGAGAGAAATAGACGGAGGCTGAAGAAGGAGAGGAAGTTATTAGGTGCAGAAAGTCCAATCCTAAGAGAGAATGCAGTTATAGAATATGGACGCTAGAGTGTGCTGTTTGTTAGTAAATCTCACACTGGCGGCGCCTGCTCTTCAGTTTCTGCTCAATAGAATAACTGTAGTTTGATAAAAAATTTAATTTTTAACTGTAGTCGATGGTACAGTCGATGGTACAGTCTATGGTACAGTTGATGGTACAGTTGATGGTACAGTCGATGGTACAGTCTATGGTACAGTCTATGGTACAGTTGATGGTACAGTTGATGGTACAGTCGATGGTACAGTCTATGGTACAGTCGGCGATGGTACAGGCGATGGTACAGTCGATGGTACAGTCAATGGTACAGTCTATGGTACAGTCTATGGTACAGTCGATGGTACAGTCGATGGTACAGTTGATGGTTTGTTCCTGGTCCCCCGGTGCCTGATCACAGTGTTTAACATGAAGCCGCTCTAGTCTTTTAACTCTCACAGATCTGTCTGCTGCACAAAAAAAGGCTGAGATGCTTTGAAGTAGATAAAAGAGAGGAGGAAATGGAACCGCAGCATTAACGACAGCGACGAGTGGAGTGTCCCGAAAAAAAAAAACCTAAACTAGAATCAAAGTAGTCGGTGATGGGAGAGGACGGCAGTGAGTCGTGAGGCAGTGGATATATGTGACTGTGAAAATGTTAGCGACCCCTAGAGGTCAGAAGTGACATACAGCAGGTTAGGGTGATAAAGGAGAGGGACCTAAGAGTGATAGTGGAGCTCTGATAAATGGGAGAAAGGAAGATGGATAGTGCTCTTGCCTGACAACAATAAGGTCGGTGGTTCGAGTCCCATGTTTTTTTTTCGGTGTTTCTCTGATGCTTTTCTAATTTTCCAAAACATTCAGGATTAGGTTGATTGTTGTGGATGTAGTGACAGAATCAACTGAACAAAAAAACGTCCAAATTAAATGAGCCGAACTTTATCCTTCGTTTTGACAACCACGAAAAAACTAAACAAAGAACTTAATCAGGAGTAAAGTAGGAGATAAAAACGTCTTGAAGAAACTCCTGGATCTTTAGTCGAGGTCCAGAGCCAGGTTTTAATCCCCGGCTGAAAGGATGACGAGTCAAAGAGCTGAAAATGTAATTTTATTTAATAGTACTTTCATTTCGCTGCACCTCAATGGTTCTGTTTTTTTTTTTTTTTTAATGAAAAGATTCTAATCAAAGGTTCATCTCCTCAAAGGAAGTCCCTTCAGTGAAATCACTGCCTTTGTTGAATTATGTGACTTTAGTTTTTCTCACTTCTTACCTCTGAAACACCGCGACGATCAGTTTTTACAGAAAATAAAAGACGGATCAACCCTTTATCCAAACTGAAAACCAGTTCAAACTGTTACCTCTGAACTCGTGTGAAGCAGCGCAAAGTGGATTTGTACAAACAACGGCGTCGATAATGACGGCCGTTAAACCTGCGTCGTCACCCTGCACCGAGGCTTTTATTCAGAAACGAGTTTTTTTTTTTTATTTTATTTTTACTTTTACCCAATTTTAACACCATTAATCTTTTATTTTATTTTTATTTTTATTTTTACCCAATTTTAACACCATTAATCTGCTCTAATCCTGGGAAACATTTAGGTTTAACCCAAGAGTATTTTTTTTTATCGGCACATAACCTTCAAAATAAAACAATTAGCTATAAACAAGGCTAGTGTATGTTTGTTTTTTTTATATAAAGGATAGCTTTGCTCTAATTGTTAGCATTTTCACCACACTGTTGGTTGTCCTTCATTTTATTTATTTATTTTTTATATTATCTTCTAGCTATTTTTTCTGGCTAACTCTTAGCACCATTTGTGCCTTTTTGTTAGCGTATTTACCACATTTTGCTTTCTTGTAACTGACGCTTTCAGGTGTTTATGACGCGATGCCTTGAAACGCTCATCAGTTTTTACAGGCGTTTTATCGTTAGCATGTTAGCGTGCGAGTGCGTGTATTTCTAGCTGAGCTCCTCCTGCGGTCGTCGTTGTCGTGTTCGCCCCTAAGCCCTTTTCTTTTCTTTCCTTCTTTGTCTTTAATTTTTGAGGTCGTCCTGGCTCTGTTGCTAAGGTAACGTGGAAGATAGCGGGAGCATGTTTTTCTGCTTCTCAGATATCAATTAACGCCAAGGACAACAGCGAACACATGTCTGAAAATCTCCTCTGTGTGATTGGAGCGCGGGAGTGTGTGCTGTAGTAAATACAATATTCATGGATTTCTGTTTCCAGCCTTCCTGGGTGTGTGTGTGTGTGTGAGTTTGTTGTGTATTCAGGACTGTGTTGGTTCTGTAGGACCTGTTGTCCTAATGGGAACCACACCAACCTAACAACCGGAAAAACTTAAATTTAAAAATCAAATTTATGGTTACAAAAAATAAATAAATAAAAACACATTCACACAAATATATATTTTGTCGTCTTAAAGTTATGTCCAAATAATGTACATTTTGACCCTAGGTTGAAGTGTGTGTGTGTGTGTGTTTGTTGTGTATTCAGGACTGTGTTGGTTCTGTAGGACCTGTTGTCCTAATGGGAACCACACCAACATAACAACCGGGAAAACTTAAATTTAAAAATCAACTACGGTACAAAAAATAAATAAATAAAAACACACTCACACAAATATATATTTTGTCGTCTTAAAGTTATGTCCAAATAATGTACATTTTGACCCTAGGTTGAATTTTTTTTTTTTTTTGAACTAGCATTTTGCTAACCTTTAGCTGCAAATGTTCTGTTGAGAGAGGAGGTGCTGCCAGTACCTGGTGTTTCTGATTCTGTTTCTTGATTATATTTTTTGTAAAATATGTGTTTCCATGTCTTTAATTTGGCTAAATATTACTAGATTAAAGTTAGGCTGAGGATTAGGATTAGGCCTATTTTTTAGAGTAGGGTAAGGAATATAAGTGTGTGTGTGTGTGTGTGTGTGTGTGTGTGCCCTCCTGATGTTTCCTCCTTTGACATAAAGGAGATTTCTCCTTTTTCACTGCTGCCAACGATGGCATTAAGAACCAGTGTCCTCTCCAAGCATTCTGCTCCTCCTGCTCCTCCTGCTCCTCCTGTTTGTTCTCTCTCACTCTACCTGCAGGGGGTTTTACACCATATGCCCCAAAAACAAGTACCCCCTCCCCCCCGATCCCTCCCTCCCTCTCCAAGATGGTAGATACGGCATGAGTGGGAGTAGAGGAGGAGAGGAGAGAGGAGAGAGCTGCCATTGGTATGCCACACCACGCTGCAGCCAGAGAGCCGGCAGGAGGAGGTTGGGTGTGAGGTAGAATCTTGTTATGAGAACCAGGTGAGAGCGGGAGAGGGATGGGAGACATGAAAGGTACAATATGTGAGCAGGAAGTGAGAAAGACAATGTGATAGATGAGCCAGGAGCAGAGATTGAGTATAAGGAGGAGAGAGAGAGAGAGAGAGGGAGAGAGAGGAGGTGCTGCCAGTACCCGGTGTTTCTGATTCTGTTTCTGGTTGGGCGGCGGAGGAGAGGAGAGAGGAGAGAGCTGCCATTGGTATGCCACACCACGCTGCAGCCAGAGAGCCGGCTGGAGAGGAGGAGGAGGGAGGAGGAGGAGGAGGAGGAGGGAGTGGATGTGAAATTTTAATCACATCTCCCTGTTTGTAATTTGGAAGTGAGAGCCTCATACAAATCAGAGGAATTGCCCACACTTCTCCAGAGCGCTGCTCCCGTGGGGGGTTTCTCCTCACCTGCCGCAGACTGAAACACAAGCCATTTGTATTCGGCCAATCGTGCGGCAGCAAAGGTCCGACATCAGACGTGTAGACGCTGCGGGAAGTTTATGACAAGAATCAGAATAAGGGACAAAGTTGATCTGAGTGATTTCTGAAGAAGTGACTTTCAAAACAAAACTACGTTTCAAGTTTTTCTTCTTCTTCTTCTTCTTCCTCTTCTTCCTCTTCTTCATCTTCTTCCTCTTCTTCCTCTTCTTCATCATCTTCTTCTTTGTCTTCTTTTTCTGCTTCTCCACCTCTAACCCCCCCTACAGTCCAAGACAGTTTCCACAAACAGCCATCAGCTCTGTTGTAGAGCTGTCCATGGTGCTGAATAATGACTAACTCTCTGTTACTGTGCCATTTTCCACTGGTGGTTGTTGACGTCTGTGGTTTGTCAGATCTCTGAAGAAGGTTATATATATATATATTTACATGAATGACTTACAGTCAGAGCCAGTGTTGGGAACAAAGCTTCTAAACTTTTTTTTTTTTCCCTTTCAGCCTGGTTTTGTGAAGCTGTCCAAACCGGTGGCTCTGTGGACCCAACAGGACGTCTGCAAATGGCTGAAGAAACACTGTCCAAACCAGCACCAGATCTACAGCGACTCCTTCAAACAGCACGACATCACAGGTGGGTGTTTGATGAACGTGAAGCTGTGGATTTGACTGACGTCTTTATTCAAACTACGGCCGCAAAATACAATGAGAATTTAAAAACTACCTTGAAGCAAAAGTTAGCCAAATGCTAATCCCCAAAACACAACACAAAAAGTCAGAGCAAATTTAGCTAACGTTATTGCAAAAATTGCAAAATAAAAGTTGCTAATGGTTAGCCAAAAAAAGCTTACAATGATTAACAAATTAGCTAATACTTACCTAAAAATACAGTCAGTGTATTTCATTTAGAAATGTTTTATAATTTAGTAATAAGAAATACAAATTACTCAAATATTCTAAATGTTCTGAAAAATATATATGAAAGATGTCTGCCATGATAATCCCAAAATTCCAACATTTTAATTTCACTATTATAAATCAATCCCAGTGAATCACTGACAAAATCGCTCCACATTAGCAAAACCATCAAACACGGATTATTTTTCTCACATTTATCTCAGTTATCCTTGTAACTTTTTTCTCTTGACAAGGTCAAAAAAGTTCACATAAAAAAAAAAAAAGAAAAGTAAATCTCTCCTCCATCTGCAGTCCCACCACCTGCCTCACCCGTCTGTCCGTCCTCTCCTTCCTGCTGTCAGCGTTAGCGCTCGTGACAGTTTAAGGCGTCAATCACTCCTCTAACGAGACTCCTCAAGGTCACCTCCTCCGTGTCGCTCCTCCTCTGTGTCTCCGGATCACGTGTATTTGTCGGCTTGTTAGCGCGAAGGACCTCCTCCGCGCGGCGGTGACGGTCTGACAGGTGGGAAATCGCCGTGTTGTCGTGACGAGTCCCGTCATGACTCACCATCCAGACGTCCCTCCGAGGTGCGTTTGTACCAGGACGTCTGTGGAGGTGTAGCAGTCTCTCCTGCTCGATGGAGTGAGGATGAGAGTTCTGCTGCAGCTCAGGTCGATTTCTCACCGAGGTCCAGGAGATGAACCTGAACCTCCCCCTGCTCCGCCCTGGGGTTCACCTCCACCAGGTCCACTCACGCTGGAAACATTTTTAAAGTTTGTAACCTGCTGTCTGAACCACAAACGGAAGATATTTTTTAAAAAATATACATTTTTAAACAGACGGATTTTAGGTTATTTGCACGACGATACTTTGAAATACCTGCACAAAAATGCTACCACTGAAGTCACATGCAGTGTTTTTATGTCCTGTAGGGCATGTGTTGTTTCACCAGTGCAACATTTAACATGCTGGACTCTCCAGTAAAATGACCGA